GAATAGTGGTTTTATTAAATTAACTCCTTTTTTAGAAATGCATACTGAAATATATATGGGTATGATTCAGTGTCTGAGATTTGCTTTTAAGTACTTCAATGAAAGAAAAAATGGAATAGATTAAACAAATATGGCAGAATCTTATTCATTATCCAATCGTGGTTGTGTGTGTCTGTATTTATGATACTACTCCCTGTTTGTATGTTTGAAATGTTCATAATAAAAAAGTTAAAGTTTGTTGAGAGAATGAAAGGGGGCCCCAACTAAGAAAAATTCCAGAATAAGTTGGAAAGAAGCATTTTTATTCAAGGCTGGGGTAAAAGCCTTGTTTAGATTCAGTAACTAGGACAGTTAAACATGGGTGAGAAATGTACCAAACCACTCCCAACTGTTTAGACACCAAGTAGAACATTCCTTATGATAAGTATGTGTTTTTTGTTTTTTAAAACAAAAGACTCATTAATGCTAGGGGCTTCTGGATACTGTTAATATTCTATTTCTTGAGCTGAGCAGTGGTTAGTTACATGGGTGTTCACTTTATAACTATTTGTTAGTCTGTATGTATACATCTCATGCACATTTTTATCTGTATATTACATTTCACACTTTAAAATGTTAAATTTTTCAAATCATAATTGAATAGTAAAACATGGCACTCTTTCTCCCAATCCAATGCAGCCTGGACTTGTTAAGCAGACCACAGGAACCCACTAAGGTGCTTTTGCCCACCTGGTGGTGCAGTACTGTAATTTCAGAGAAAGAAACGGGAGGAAATAAGGAACTTTTAAAATCCTCTAAAATGTGCTTATCTCCTCACCTGCTCAGGGGATGTAAACAGAATGGTACAGGCAGAAGGGAACCAGGGTTCTCCCATTCCTGGAATGTTGGAGTTGATTAAAAATGGGGGACTGTGGCTAGAAGTGTATTACGCAGCTTCCCCTGTCTTCTCCACCTACAGCTCTGCCTATTGGATGCTATGTGCTTATCTCATAGAGACATGCCTTTTTTGAAGAACTCTTTCTTTCCCCTCCTAAGGGAGGAAGGTTACTTCAGGGTGGAGGGTAGGGTGGGGGGCTTGAGTCCAGCTGGCGTCTCCCACCCTCTTTTGCAAGCCCTTCTTTCCTCATCGCGGTTCCCTGTCATCTCCAACGACCTCAACAGAGCAATCCTTTCTCCCGAGGCCTTAGAAGGACATGAGTTGGAGGCCAACTAAGGGCAAATCAAGATAGCAGGAGCCCAGGTCAATATCTCTGTGTTCAAGAGAAAGTCTGAGAGCCTTAGCCTGGCATTCAGGGTCTGGCCCATGTCAGAGGAGTATCCTTCACCCAAGCCACAACAAATTGCTTCTGCCATGCTCCAAATGCATCTTGCCTTCTGGGACCTTCAAGCCTTTGTACAGGCTGTTTCACTTACCTAGGCACCATTTTTTATTTAATCAAGATGCTCATGGTATTAATTTTATGTCGACTTTATTATGAACACTTTACAAATATTACCTCATTTATCTTCACAACCCTATGTTGTAAGCACTATTACTACCTCATTTAACAGATAAGGAACTTGAGGTGCAAGGAAGTTAAGAGACACAGATTCAAACCCCAGCAGCCTGGAGCCAAAGTCAGTGCTCTTAGCCACCATACTATGTTGCCTCTTAAACTTCTTCCAACTCACTTCCACTTCTTCCACACTTATCCTGGGTATCACCACCTCTCCCCACACTGGCCTTGACATCTTCCAGCTCCCACAGCTCCCAAATCCCACTTTTGCCTCCCATTATGTGAAACATTCTGACTGCTTGTTTTACTTTTTCATTTTTAAAAACTTTAAAAAATGGAAGCATAACACATATAAAGAAAAGTACAATAGGCATAAATGTACAGCTCTCAATGAATTGTTACTAAGTAACCACCCATGTAATCAGCACCGAAATCAAGAAACAGAACATTCCCAGCACCTGAGAAAGTCTCCTTGGGCCTCCTACTCAGGGCCCAAAGGCAATCAAGATTCTGACTTCTATCACCATAGATTAGTTTCACCTGTTTTAGACCTTTCTATAAATGGAACCAAAAGGGTATGTGCTCTTTTGTGTCTGGTTTATTCTCCTCAGCATAATGTTTACAGAATCCATCCGTATTGTTGTATGCAGTTGTGAGGCATTTCTTCTCATTGATGTGTAGTATCGAATCCTGTGAATATACTACAATTTATTTATGATTCTTCTGTTAATGACATTTGGGTTGTTTCCAGTTTAACTATTACAAATAGTTGTAGCTATTTATTACAAAAAAGCTATTACAAATAGCTTTTATGAAATGAACGTTACTGTATATGCCTTTTCGTAAACATATATTAGCATTTGTGTTGGGCATATACCTAGGAGTAGGATCACTGGGTTATGGGGTGTGTATATGGTCACCCTTAGTAAATATTGCTAACCAGGTTCCAAAGTGATTATATCAGTTATATCTCATCAGGATTGTATGAGAATTTCAGTCACTCCACATTCTCACATCCAGTATTATCTTTTCCTTTTTAGTCATTCTAGTGAGTGTGGTTTTATTTCATATTTTCTTGACTACTAAATGACATTGTATGTTTATATCTTCCTTTCTAATCTTTATGTCTTTTATTTATTTTCTTGCTTTAGTGTGCTGGCCAGGACCTCCAGTACAATTTGAATAGAAGTGGTTATAGCGGGCATCTTTGCCTCATTCCCTATGTTAGAGGGAAAGCATTCAACGTTTCCACATTAGGTATGATATTTGCTATAGATTTTTTGTAGATAATGTACATTAAATTAAGGAACTTCCCTTATATTCTTAGCAAACTTAAGTTTGCTAAGTTTTTTGTCATGATGCTTTTTTTTTCATCTATTGAAATGATCATATGATTTTTCTTCAATTCCCCGGAAAATTCTGTGTAAAATTAGAAAAGTGGTGGGGTTTCTTTCCTTATTTTGTAAAATTCACCATTGGCAGTTTCTGGGTCTGGTGGTTTCTTTGTGGAAAGCTTTTTAAATTATAAATTCAATGATTTAATAGTTATAGGATTATTCAGATAAAAAATTTTTCTTGTGCAAGTTTTAGTAAATTGTATTTTTCTAGGAATGTCCCCATCTTATCAAAATTTTCAAATTTATTAGTATAAAGTTCTTCATAATACTGCCTTATTATATTTTTTAATGTATAGCCAACCCATATTGTAGTGCCCCCTTTTGTTCCGGATACTAGTTATGTGCCTTCTATTTTTTTTTTCTGGATCAGTCTCAGGGATTTATCATTTTTCTAGTTTTTTTCAAAGAATCAACTTTTAGCTTTGTCAATACTCTGTTGTGGTTCTGTTTTCTGTTTCATTGATTTCTCTCTTATCTCTGTTATTTCTCTCCTACTTTCTTTAATTTGCTTTGTCTAACTTCTTGAGATGGATTTTCAGCCTTTTTAAAGAATAATATATATTTAAGGCTATAATTTTTCTCTAAGCATAGCCTTAGCAACATCCAACAGAATTTCAGATATAATATTTTCATTATCACTCAGTTCAAAATATTTTCTAATTTCCATTGTGAATTTATATTTGACTCATGGGTTTTCCTCCCTCTCCAAAGCATGATGCCCAAACATAACAATAACCACCTGAGGGCCGTGTCAAAATACAGGTTTTGGAGCTTCATCTCAAACCTCCTAAATTAGTATTTCTGGGAGGTAGGCCTGGGTTTCACAAACTCTATGGGGGTTCAGATGCAGGTGGATTGCAGGACCACAGCTTGGCAGTGGAGCAAGGGTTTCCTAAGGGCAGAGAGCAAGTCTGATTCACCTATATTGTCAGTGCCCACCACAGGACCTAGCATACAGCCATGCTTAATAAATGAGTGAACTAATGAATGAGGGAAGAAAGAAAATAGAAGAAAATTGCTTATATGAAGGGAACTGGAATTCTTAAATGCTATAAATTAGGGGAACCACTATGGCATCATTTGGTCCCAATTTAATCTATTCAGGACAGAAGTATTTCTTCCTTGCCTTCGAACCTCTGCCTACAAGGCTTCTCCTCCCCTGGCCCATTCTGCTGTCCTGGAACGTGGCCATAACTATGGGTGCGTATCTGTCTACTGGCCCAGAGAAAGTAGGGGTGGCACGGGAGATGACGTCCTGAGAAGGGCTGTTCAGAGATGGGCAGCGCTCCCTGCCACGCCCCCGCCCCCGCCCCCACGCCCTCCCACCTACAGGCCTTGCTGGGAAAATGCCCATAGAACCCATTCTAAATAAGGTTGTCTATCCTACCTCTCAGAGCTTTAAGGATCCCTCCCAAGCGAAAGCTTTTGAGAAACTTCCACAGGACCTTTCTGCTCTGACCCCAACCGTAGATCCCCCCACCCCTGCCTCCTCTGCACTTGTAGCCCATGCACTTCTCCCCACCTCCACGCATGCCTCTCTCCAGCATCTCAGAAAGGCCGGAGTCTGAATTCCCCAGGCAGCTATTGTCCTGGCAGCACAGCCGCCACGCCAGCATCCCCACCCAGTCGGCCTGCCAGCCAGCCGGGTCCTCCCCGGCCTCACCAGCCCCCCTTCCCCGCCCCGCCCCGCTCCGCCCCAGGGAGGACCAGGCTGGCGGCTGGGAGTCTCCCTGCCTGCTCAGCCTCCCTCCTTCCCTCCCTCCCTCTCCCTCCCTGCCTCCCTCCCTCCCTCCTCCGCCCGCCCCTGAGGCAGGGACCGTGCAAATCGAGGAGAGGGGGGACGGACAGCCCAGATGGGGTCCAGCTTAGTGCCCTGGGCTCCCCGCCGATGCCTTATCCAGTCTGGGTGTCCCCAGCATCTTGGGACCTAAATTTGTGTAAGCTGGGGTGCTTCCCAGGCCTGGAGGGTCCCTCCAGCAGGCCCACGGTGCCCCCGTTTTGCATCAGGACCCCCCCCTCGGATGCTCTGAGCCACCCTCCTCAACCCGGATCTAAAACCCGGGACACAGCTATCAGGCCAGCCTCTCTCTCCACCCCACCCCCTCTTTCTGGCGTCCATCCCCTCCCCAACTCCACCTCTGCTGCTGCCTCTGGCTGTGGACCTGCACCTCTTCCCCATCCCCGACAGGCCTGGGGATCGAGGTGAGCCTGGATGAGAGCTCCCACAACCTGGGGCTCTCCCAGGCCATGGCCCGAGTGCTCCCAGGGAGGAGCCCCAGACCCTGAGCATCTGCTGGAGGCTTGGCAGAGGCCCCGCGGGGACCGTGTCTTCTGAGGACAAAAAGGCGGCGGCCAGCGGGCAGACAGGGAGGGGGAAGGGGGGACCGGCAGCCAGGTGGGCAGACGGGTAGCAGGGGCCACTGCTGGCCCCCCTCCCAGCTTGGCGGTGGCGTGAAGATGGGGGTGGGAGTGTGTAGTTGGGGAAGCACCTGCCTGGACCCCCACCTGCCAGCTAGCTGGGCATCCCAAGGCTGTGTGCTGCCCATCTGGTGTTCCCCAACACCCCCAGCCCTGCCCAGTGCACTCCTCCAGTGCCTGCTTCCCCTGATGTCTGCGATTTAGACCAGCCCGGCTGTATCCACGGCAACAGAAGCAGGAATGTCACTGGCTGCCAGCTCACGGAGGGTCCCACAATGTGGCCTGGGCTGTGATTTATCCTGAGTGAGACAGCTTGAGCCCCCTCCCTCGATTCCAAGACAGCCCTGCTGAGAGAGCCTAGGTAAGTAGTCAGCGTCCCTCCACCGAGGATGGGGGGCTGGGACTTCTGTCTCCCCACACATATTCCAGAGTCTCCATCACTGCCATGCTCTCTGTCTCTCTCTGGTTCTGTTAGTCTCTCTCTCTTTCTACTCCATCACAAGGGCTACGTGGGCACTCAAGCCTGGAGAGTCCTCTAGCCATCCCCATCTTTCTCAATCCCAAATGTCCCGTGAGGAAGGGAACCACCACCTGTTTCCCCGTACAAGGTCTGTTTTTATCATTATGGTCCCATTTGAGCACGAGGCTGTGTTAATATTTCCTTGTGTGCTGTCTGTGGAAGGCATGCCTGGAGCCCGGCTGTGCTCCCCTCATGATGCCTGCACCCTGGGCAGGCTCAGCCTCCTGCAGCTGCCTCCTCTCCCTCTCCCTCCTCCTCCACTCTCCGACAGCTTCCTTGGCCAGCATGCAGGGTGTGTGTGTGTCTGCCTGAGTGTGTGAGCTGGCAGGTGAGTAGACGTGACAGAGAAGCTGCTCCCAGCCCAGACCACCCCCCACTCCTTGTTTCCTTCTTTCCTTCCTTCCTTCTTTCCTTCCTTCCTTCCCCTGTCTCTGCCCACAAGTAGCACAGACTTTTGCTCACTCACCAGGGAAGATACTGCTGTGATTTCCAGCAAGGGGGAGGAAGCCACTGTAGGGCTAAAAGGAAGGTGAGGTGGGGATGGGGAGCACTTCCAGGCCCTAGTCTGCTTGATGCCTTGGTGGAGGCAAGGACCATGCCACACAACACCCTGCAGGGGCCAGACACAACATGGTTGTCCCCACAGTGTGGGCCCCAGCCTTCATCCAAGGCTCTCAGTCTGTTTTGGACTCCCATGTTGTGTCTGGGATTCCCCAGATATTATGGCCTTGTGGTCCCTCTGTCTGAAGAAGCAGGAAAGCCTGGTATATGGAGAACATGGATTCTCCAGGGACACCTCCCTCAACTACTGGCTCTGCAACTTTAGTGAAAGTGTGCTACTTATTGAACCTTAGTTTTCTCATCTGTCAAAGAGACTGGCAACCCTTCCTTCATGGCTGTGTGTAGTGACTAAATGAGTTGGTGCATGTAAGTAAAGGATGTGTATAGAAGTGGCCCTGAAGCAATGTCAGCAAAGCTCATGGTCAATATTGTTGCTGATTGTTCATGATTAATATTGTCATTAATTATTTGGGGGAAGGACTGGCCCCTCTTCTCCAGGGTCTTGGCTGAGATGTGGGGAGGGCAGCAGGTAGGTAAATGGAGGAGGGGAAGGGGAAGCAGGAGCAACTCTGTGTTGTTACTCCTCATTTGTAAGGAGGAATAAGTGGTGGCTGTGGGCAGAGCCTCCTGCCCCCACCCTCCTCCAGGCTCCTTTCCTGCACTTTCCCCTGTCTGTGCACACACACACACAGAGGCTCTAGCCCCCGTGAGCTAGCAGAGGCCTGGCTTGCAGCCTGCAGCATTGCTGACTCTGGTGATATATGCATCTCCCTGTTGAGGGGAGACTTGGCAAGAGTTTGGCCTGTGGTCAGTGGTTGGCAGGGCGTGGGGACAGGGCTGAAGCTTCTGAGATCACAGGGCTTCGGGTGTGGCCCATGCAGCAGCCAGAGCTGTGGGGGACGGGTCCCAGGGAGTCACTAACATAGAGCCTGGGCTGGAGGGACAGTTGGGTCTGCTGGCTGGTTTCTGGGTGTGAGATGTGGTGGAACACTGAGTGAGGGGTCAGTGGCTGGAGGAGAGTCCTCAAGGCCAGGGGAGCATTAGGAAGAGGGGAAACACTGAGGCCCAGAAGACCTCCTCTGTGGGGGCAGGGAGGGGTGGGATATATAGAGTAGGCTTATGGAGTAGACTTTTCTGAAGAAGCATTAGGGGCAGAAGGGAGAGAACCCCACCTGTGGTCCAGAGGCATCTAGGCCTGAGCGTGGGTGTATATGTGCAACTGAAAACATATAGCTGTGTGTGTCTCTCTGTTCATGGGCACTATGAATGTGTATGAGTCTGTGTGTGTTAGCAGGTCACATGATGGTGTGAAACTGTGTGGGTGTCTGGGTAGGATGGTGTGTGTACAAGGGAGTGGGTATGACTTTGCATGTCTGTGTGGGTGAGCAAATGGGCATGTTGGATCCTGAGCCTGAGTGAGGGTGTGTTTCTCTGAGCCAATAGGCCTGTTGAATGTCTGGCTAAATATATGTATGTGGTATACATTTGTCTTTGAGTGTACATGTCTGATTGTATGTGTATGAGTGTGAGGGTTTCAGAATGCCTGGGTGTACATGTCCTATTAGGTGATTGCCCAGATATATCTGATTGTGTATATTTGTGTATGCCCCTGTGTGCATATGAATACAAGTGCATCTAAATGGTGTGTTTGTAAGTGTAAGGGTATGTGTATGTGTGTATGTCCATGCATGTATGGGAGGGTAAGTGTGGATACACATGCTTCTGTGTGGGTGTGCCTGTCGTGTATATGTATGAGTAGGCCTGTGTGTGAATGTCTTTGTGGATTCTCCAGCATTTTGAATTATGTCTACGTCTGTGTGTGCATGTTTGAATACATATTGTCTGTAGACAGACCCATGGGTCTACATCTGATTAGGGAAATGTTAGTGTAGATGGTCACACTAGTATAAGGATAACTAATTGTGTGGGTAGGGGAGAGTGTGTGAATGCACATGTTTTGCGCATGAAAGTATGCCTTGTGGGTTTGCCTATGTGTGCACATTTGATTATATATATGGGTATGGCTGGGGGGCTGTACACCTTTAAATATATGCACAAAAAGCTGTGTGCATAGGTAAATGGCTGCATTCATGTATATGTCTAGTTGTGTTTCTGGGTACACTGTTGTACCTCTGAGCATACATCTCTGAGTGTGGTGTGAGTGCATCTCTTAGTGTAAGTGTGCACTCACACTCACTCAGTGTGGTGTGTGCATGAGTAACTACAACTCATAATACTTGGATGCACCTGTCTCATTATGTATTTTGTTTGAATTTCTGAGTGAGTGTGAATGTGTGTGTGGAAATGCCTGTGAGTGACTGAGTGAATGTGTGTGTATATGCTAGTATGTGTGAACATGTAGCTCTGTGTGCACTTGAGTGAACATGTCTGTATATTTGCCTGTGTATTCACACACATCTAAGTGTATGTGTGTGTAAATATGCCTGGGTGTGTGTCTGTCTGAATGTACAGGTGGTGTCTGAACTGCACCAATTTGTATAGTTCTAATTATTTGCATATGTGTATTTGTATTTATCTACCATTGTTTGTTCTGGAGCATATGTTGTAGAACCGTGTAAGTGAATGTACATACACACCACTCTTGGCCTATAAGTGCGTTTGAGTGTGTGTGTGTGTGTGTGTGTGAGGTTGTCTTTGCATGTGTGTGTCTGTAATGAGTGTTAGCAATTCTTGTGCAGATGTACAAGTGTGTGAGAATATGTGACTATTCTTCCATGTGTGCATGAGTCTTCTTTTGTTTGCATATTTTCTCATGGGTGTATGAACATGTGTCAACATAAATGGTGTGTGTAATTGTGTTTTGTAAGGACATTTGTGTCTCCATGTCTGATTCTGTGCATGCAGAAATGAATGAAGTACAAGCCTAAGTTCATGTGAATACGCTTATAGGTGTACATGCCCAGTTGTGTGTATAAGTCTATGTGTGTTAGAATGTCCATGTATGAGTACACCATCTAACTGACAAGCATGTGCACATCTGGGTGTTCATTTGTGTGAGTACATCCTGGTGTGAGTATGTGTGAATATGCTTATGTGGTCATGTCTGGGGCTGTATGTGTATACATTTGGGAGCTCACCTCTGTGTGTCGTGTTTGTTCATTGTCTCACTGGGTGTGATACAGAGTCTACCTGTCTGTGGACATATGTAAATATGCCTGTGTGTACACCTGTGTTTGTGAGTGAAAGTATGTCCTTCATGGGCATTATGTCATGTGAGTATATGCTATGCATATATGTCTGTGTTTGAGAATAAATGGATGTGCATATGTGGGACCAAGTGCAGTGTGAGTGTGCACTGCTGTGGGTGTGCCTGTTGTAGGGATGAGTGTAGGTATTTGTGCATGTGCCTGTCTCATGGTATGTATGTGAGAGAGGGAGAAAGATTTGGCCTTGGGCTTGTGCAGATAGGCCTTATCATTAAGAGGGTGATAAGGGAGGGTACTTATGAGACTGCGTGATGCTATGTGTACCCCAGCGTGTATTTATGTGCCTGTCTGAAAGTCAGGTACCCTGCTAGACTATGTCTGGCTCTAATTGTGTAGACATCCTAGATGATGGAAGCCAAAACACTTGAGCAATCCATGACCCCCTTCTGGGGTTTCTCTGGCTTTGACCATGTGCTGGGCTTCTGTGAGGGTCTCAGGAGAATTCCTGTCATCATTCACACTCAAGAAGTAAGAACCAAAAATGACTGATATCCTACTAGGGAAGGGGGCCTGTGACCTCTTTAGAAAAGGATTTCTTGAAACACAAAGACCTCATTTCCCATCCTCCCCCCACCATCAAAGGCCCAGGACAAAATGGCATTGTATGGTATCAAGGGTTGGTAAATGGTTTTCACACACAACACCCAAGTTGTGCTATCCAGGGAGAAATCTAGATCTAAATGTGTATGTATAAGTGAAAAGTGAAGGTATATTCAGGTAAAGTGGGGTGTGTGTGTGGAGTGGGTGCTATATTTGATGAGAGAGAAAGAGAGAGAGAGAGAGAGAGAGAGGGAGAGAGAGAGAGAGAGAGAGAGAGAAGGGATCTGGGTTGTGTGTAGGTAAGAGAGAGCCTGGGCGTATCTGGGTAGGGTTTGAGTGTGAGACATTTGGGTGTATTTGAGAGGGATGAGTGTGGATGTGGGGGGGTGTGAATGGTGCATTTGTGAGGCACTATGAGACCATTGGCCTATTTCGGTGGAGGATGGTATAAGTAACATTTTGGGTGTGGCTGTGTGGGAATATGTGTGAGGATATATATATTTGAGGGGTATG